TTGTGGAACCAGGGATTAAGCTCAGACCCTTGCGCTTGCCAGGGAAGCACTTATTCTACTGAGCTATCTCCCTGGCCCCAAGTTTAAATAATCCTTGCTGTAGAAGATGAGAATGACATCAGAAACCCAGATGTGACCGCTGCCTTTGAATGGTGATAGATTTGATGGGAAGCAGGGTTTATGGCAGTGTTCCTCAGCTCTTTCTTTAGGCCTCCCCTCATAGGCTCATTCTATACTGTGCTGAGAATCTAACCCATTTCAGCCTCAGGCCCTCTCTAGTGGAGCAAGTAGAACCTTTGCCTTTCTAGAAGTTTTTCATAGGTGCCAATCTGCCGAGGGAACCCAATGGCAGAAATGAGGAGAGACGAAGTGGAAGGTGTAGATACCAGATGCAGAAAATAAATTGGAAATAGTAAATCTGTTTCTAATAGTCTTTTTTTTTTTGGTGGAACCGGGGATTGAACTCAGGCCCTTGCACTTGCCAGGGAGGCGCTTATTCCACTGAGCCATCTCCCCGGCCCTCTAATAGTCTTGTATAAGAGAAAATAAACATGTTTATATAGAATTTGTTTCTATTTTTCTTTTTTTATGTATTTAGAATGGGGTCTCACTACACAGATCCAACCATAGTGATCCTTTCTATTTTTCAGCCTCCCAAATGCTGGGATTACAGGTGAGCACCACCACGCCCAGTCTCAGTCACCATCTCAGTGTGTCCTAGGGGCGGAGCCTGCATAGCAGGCCTGGGATTGAACCCCTGGCCCCTGTGTCTGCCTAAGCAGGCACTTTAATCTACTAAGCTATCTGGCTGGCCCTTAGAATTTATTTCTTAAAAAAAAAAGGATTGGCAAGCAAGATTAATAAATAGTAATAAAATTACTAAATTGGGTATGGTAGCTCACTCCTGTAATCTCAGCAATCAGGAGGATCGCTGTGAGTTGGCTATGAAGTGAGTTCAAGGCCAGTCTGAACTACATAGCAAGTCTTGTCTTTAAAAAGAAAAAAAAAAAGAGGGGGAGAACAAAAAAAAAAGAAAACAAGAGTACTCTTCAACTGCTATTTCAAGAACTGCAGAAGTGTTTTTAGAACTAATTTTTTAAATCCACGTATCTAGTTTAATGAATAAAGTATCAGAAACTCTGCTAATCAAGTATCTTATTATTTCTCTTGTTTTCAATACATGGTTTCAATATTTTATTTTTTCAGTTGGCCGTAAACCAAAGACCCAGCAGTCACCAATTTCCAATGGGTCTCCTGAGTTAGGTATCAAGAAGAAACCCAGAGAAGGAAAAGGTAATTTGGGAAGGGTTTTGTTTTATTTTTTGAAATGAAATTTTTCCCCCTAGTCAGGTGACATTTTTGTGTGGTAGGACAATTATTTGTATACATGAACCTATGGAAACAGAGTCTCTGGTAGTACTTCGAAGTATTTGGGGATTGGTCAGCATTCCCTAAAGAGCTTATCAAACTATCTTCCCAGTCCTAGCGGAGGGGGCCTGCCCATTAGCTCTGGTGTCTAAGTGCCTGCTGAAACAAAGCAGGCAGGCTCAGGGTGCTGTGGTTTGATCCCCTCATCCTCAAGCCAAACCGGACCTGGGGGGTAGGGGAGGGCTCCTTCTGCCAGTCCTACCGGGTAGCGGTTCTCCAGCTACAGCTATATTCTGGGCAGCAGAAAGGAACAAGCATGTCCACTCAACATCCCTTTAGGCACACAGATGCTGGCTTGTGTACTAGCAGTTCTCCCCTGAAGAAGCCGCTTGAATCCGAGAGCTTACCACTGAGACTTGTTTCTGATCATAGTTTAACATTTAGATTAGGAGCAATACAAGAAGTCAAGGCAAGCTGAGAACAGACAAAAAAGCTTAAGTCTAGTCTACAATGAACTTTGGTATTTAATTGGATAGCCTCTCCCCTATATCCACTTGCATTTTGGAGTATTTTAAAAAACATGGTTGTAGGACAGATTTTGGATATTTTTTTTTGTCCGTCTTCAGTCATTTCACATTTCTAATACCTTATGTGTTGTCTTTTAGTTTATATTGAAAACTTTAAAAATGTTATATAGTAGTAAATAATAGTTGAACTGTAAATGTATAATTACTGTTTTTAAAATAATTCTTATCATTGGTATCACTCATATTCAAAGACCTTATGTTTTGTGCAAGCAGAAACCTTTGTAATGACCTATTTTTATCAATCAGAATCTTTAGGGGGTAGTGGTGCTCCAGGCTTCTGCATGCTGAGTCTGAGTCATGTTCTACCTTGGAACTTCTCTACCGCCTTTCATTAAACTTGAGGCAGATGTTGCAGTGTGAAGATTTAAGTTATTACAGTCAATGGTGGATTCTTAATCTTGTTCATTCATTTGCAAAATAATGCTAATAATGTCCTTCACAGGCACAGCATTATCTGACAAAGGCTTCCCTTTCCGAATGTGTTTTTCTTATAGCCAGAAATAGAAATGTTAATATAAAAACTTGGGGATGGGAGCTGCTCAAAGAATGGAACCACCTATAAGCCCAGCACTTGGGAGGCTGAGACAGGAGGGCCGTTGTTAAATTCTGTTGTAAACTTCCCAAGGCCAGCCTGGGCTACAGAGTAAGTTCAAGGACAGTCTCAAAAACAAAGCAAACCAAAGCAAATTTAGGGATAGGAATTTGGCCGGGGTACCTAAAGATCATCTGAAGAATATTGATAAGTTTAAGTTTTTCTGCTCTTACTATTTCTACTCATACTGATAATCCCCTGGTTTTTCACAAAATAAAAGTGCTGCCAGCTCCATACTTTGTAGTTGAAGGATATTCGGGCTTCTGTAGCTTTTAGGTAGTGATGCTGATACAGTAGAGCTTCAGAAGTTAACAAGTGTAAATAAAGATAAAAAGGAAGTAAAAAAATAAATAAATAAAAAATAAGAAAAGAAGTTAACAAATGTGACACTGTATTATGAACCTAGAGGTCAGTCTTGTTAGGTCCAGAGATGCATACTGGGCTCAACCACAGGTTATAAATGAACGTTCCAGTAGTATGATCTAAAGCCAGTGTTGTACGTAACATTTGTAAATAGTGTGCTCCTAGTTCAAGTGATGGCTTGTTACTTTTTAGTATTTTCATTTAAGGTGCTTTTATTTTAGGACTGAAGCACAAATGTATTGAACTGTGTTCACATACAGCGGTCCCTCACTTAATGCGGAGGTTATGTTCCAGACACCCCTGCAATAAGGGAAAATCAGTACAGTAGTGACATATTTTAGTATTTATATGTATTTTAAGACTTTATAAACCCTTTCCACACTCTCATAAATGTTTTCCACACTTTTAAAAACATATATATATATATATATATATATGTTTTTAAATTTATAACCAGGGATCAAACTCAGGACCTTGCATTTGCCAGGCAAACACTTACTCAACTGAGCTATCTCCCTGTCCCCAAAAACACATATTCTTAACCATTTTCTAAACTTGTAAACCTACATAATTTTAACAACATATACTATATGGTACTAAAAAATCCCACAATATAGCAATAAGTAATTTAATATTTTTTGAAAACCTGTGAGAAACAAGTGAGTCTGCAAAAGTCAAACTGTGAAATAGTGTGTGACTACTGTAAAATGAATTTGCTTTACTGTATTAACTTTGCTGTAGTAGATTTAATTAGTACATGGAAATTAGAAATTTTTAAGCATCTGTTTTTAGAGTCAGTAACTTTTATTTAGTCTGGCTGGGTGTGGTGGCATGGCACACAGTAATCCCAGCATCTGAGATAGTAATGTAGGAGGATTACAAGTTTGAGTCCAGCCTGGGTGACTGTGAGACCTTGTCTTAGAAAGGGGGTTGGGGTGAGAGTTTAGCTCAATGGGAAGACCTGGGGTTCAGTCTCTAGTAACCAAGGTGTGCACATGCATGCGCGCGCGCGCACACACACACACACAGGCTGAAATGAGGGAAGTAATGTTAGGCTACTTCACTGTTTGGTCTCAGCTACAGGTTATTAACTTTCAGATTTTAAGGGAAATCCAAAATGAACATGAAATGCCAGAGAAACAGCAATGGGTTGCTGTACTTCAGGTTGGAAATGTCTAACACAGCCTGTAGCCCTGGCCTGGTTTAAGAATATAATAAAAGGATGGTACTTGACAAGACATACCTCAGTTTGTGCCTATTAAAGGGGAGTGCACATGTCCTGGTTGGCTTGCATGTAAAGGAGAGGTCTTGTTTGGCTCACAGTTTCAGTCCATGGTCAGCTGGCTAAAGGCAGAAATTCTGTGGAAGACAGTACAGAGCATTGGCATCAGCAGAGCACCTTCCACCAGCAAACCACCTTGAGCCACCTGCCATGGACCCCTCAGGAAGTGCAGCTTATGACCTTGGGGGTGTAATACCCTGGCAAACATAGTGCCCCTTGGTCTAGGCACCTGTCATCTTTCCAGGAGTGTTTTAATCCAGTCAGATTGGCAATTGAGTGTAACCTGACAGCTTCTTAGAAGATCAAGATTGATGTCCAAAAAGTTTTTCACATTCAAATGTGTATTGCTTGTCTAATAAAATTGAATGAATTTTGATTATGGAATTTGGGTTTACAATAAACACAGGTGCAAGTTTAATTTATGCATAACTTAAAACTAATTAATAAATTTGGGTGAAGCACTGTGCCTCTCCTTGAGAGTGTGGGATAGAGTAGTGTGTGATAGTGTGTAGAGGACTACTGGAAACATTGTTAAAAACCAGCAAGAGTATACTTAGGATTATGTTATAAAAAGGGATAATTTTTTTCCATAATTTTATTGAGAAATAGCAATGAGACAGTTTCAAATCAAATTGGTAGGACAGTTCCAATAATTTTTTTTTTTTTTTTTTTGCGGAACCGGGGATTGAACTCAGGCCCTTGCGCTTGCCAGGGAAGTGCTTATCCCACTGAGCCATCTCCCCGGCCCTCAGTTCCAATAATTAACTCATTGCATACTGTCTACTCCTAATGGTTATCTGTTGTACAAGATGCAGGCATGATATCCTATTTATAACACTATTAGGACAAATCTCTCTATTCATTGAATTAAGAGACTGTAGGTATATTATCTATCCTAACCATTTTGAATACACAGATACAAAATGGACATTCATCTGTATCCCCTTTTTTTGTTTAGTTCTGTCATTTAAATATTATAGGTGTGTGAATTCAGCAAAATATTCCAAAAGAGTCCAGTAGTACATAATAGTATTGGGTCTTATGCTTGACTGGCAATGTCAGAAGTTATTGACCTGAGTCCCCTAAAAAGGGATAATTTATTTGCTTTTAATTATTTGTTAATGTACTTAAGGTTAACTTCTATTATTTTGCTTTGTTTTTAAAGGAAATACAACATATTTGTGGGAGTTTCTTTTAGATCTACTTCAAGATAAGAATACTTGTCCTCGGTATATTAAATGGACTCAGAGAGAGAAGGGTATATTTAAACTCGTGGATTCAAAAGCTGTCTCTAAGCTTTGGGGAAAGCATAAGAACAAACCAGACATGAACTATGAAACTATGGGACGTGCTTTGAGGTAAGAAACCATGAATTGATACTGAAACAAAACATTAACTTTTTATACTATTTGTTAGCTGTTGCAAGAGGGGCTCTGAGTCTCTTAACAGAACTTGTAACCTTGGAAGATGTTCTAGAGGCATTTTTTAAGTTCAGCAGTAGATGACAGAGAAAGGACTAGATCTATATGAATGTCTGTAATTTCAACATTGGAAAATCCATTTTTGTAGAAAATGTGCCTTTGCACCTAAGAGTATTGCCACCTCCCCCTTTTGATACAGGGTTTTACTATGTAGTTTGATGGCCTTGTACTTGCAGCAGTCTTCCTGCCTCTGCCTTTCAAGTGTGGGCACTATAAATGTGTTAGCAGAACTATTCCTGTGCCCCCTCTCTTTCCCTTTCCTAATTTTGAGACATAGGGTTTTGGTTACTCTGGCTTGTCATGAACTTTTTTTTTTTTTTTTTTTTTTGTACCAGGGATTGAATTTAGGACCTTGAACTTGCCAGGAAGGTGCTTATGCCACTGAGCTATCTCCCTGGCTATGCCTTTGACCCTCCTGAGTGGCTGAGATTGCAGGCATGTGTCACCATATATTTCTAGGACTCTTCCCTCTTTTTTTGAGATAGGATTTCGAGTTACTCAGTTCAGGTGGGCCTTGAACTTGCAGCAGTCTTCTCACCTTAGCCTCCTAAAAGTTGGGATTATAGGCATGTACTCCCATGCCTAGCAAATATTGTATCTTTGTAGAAGTTCTTGAGTAAAGGTCTTTTTAAAAAGTAAATTCAAGGGGGCTGGGGAGATGGCTCAGTGGAGTAAGCACTTCCCAGGCAAGTGCAATGGCCTGAGTTCAATCCCCAGTTCCAAAAAAAAAAAAAAAAGTAAATTCAAATAGCTTCCAAAGTTAATTTGCAGGGCTGGTAAGATAGCCAAGCAGACTTAATGCCTGTTTTGGCAAGCGCAGGAACCAGGGTTTGTGCCGCACCAGGCTCGCTGAGCCAGTGACTGAGTCTGGGCCTGGTGGCACATGCCTGTAAACCCAGCACTAGGGAGGCTGAAAACAGGAGCATCACTACAAGTCTGAGCTGCGTAGTGAGACCCTGTACCAAATACATAAAATAAGAAAAAAAAACAAAGTTAATTTGCTTTTTAATTCTGGAAATTAGTTTGTCAGTTTTGAGAAATTCTAGAACGTGTTGTAGTGAACATGATGCAGGTGTTTGTAAGTGAGCAGGTCAAATTTCATGTGACAGTATTCATATATCCCAAAGCTTCATCTGTATTAAATGTGGCTTAGGTAACTTTTCCTTGTAACAGCAAAATGTTTTATAACCTGTATAAATCAGAATAGAATTCTACTTGCTTTTGAGCAGTTCTAGTATCAGAACAAGTGAACGCTTCTGTTAGGATCTGCTGTGTGTGATCTTTTTGGAGGAAGAGGGGAGTAATAATTTGATTTATTTAGCAATATTCTCCCTTTTCAGATACTACTACCAAAGGGGAATTCTTGCAAAGGTCGAAGGCCAGAGGCTTGTGTACCAGTTCAAGGATATGCCTAAAAACATAGTGGTCATTGATGATGACAAAAATGAGAGCTGTAATGAAGAGTTAGCAGCACCTCCTGATGAGAAGTCTTTAGAACGAGTATCGCTGTCTGCAGAAAGTCTCCTGAAAGCAGCGGCTTCTGTTCGTGGTGGAAAAAACACATCTCCTATCAGTTGTTCCAGAGCAGAGAAAGGTGTGGCCAGAGCTGTGAGTATCACTTCCCCTGGTCAGGATGCTTCGCCCAGGTCTCCTACCACGGCACCAGGAGCAGCAGCAGCAGCTCCAAGGTAAGGGAGGCAGGAGTAGGGCTACACTTAACATTGGCAGACAAAGATGTCTCTGCTGCGACTTTTCAAAATGCTTGATAGTTTATGTTGTTTGGTTGTTGTTTAAAGTAGATGTCTTAGCTAGCCTGGATTGACTTGTGTCATTCTATAGATGGACCTTGCAGTGAGCTTTTTAGCGCTTTAGGTTTTTTAATATGTTTGTTTCATGGTATTTTATTTATTTTTATTTTTTGGCTGAACCAGGGATTGAACTCAGGCCCTTGCACTTGCCAGGGAAGTACTTATTCCACTGAGCCATCTCCCCAGCCCCGTTTCATGGTATTTCATTCCCTACATTACTGAGCATGCCAGTACATTTGTAAAATTTAGAAGTGCTAGTTTTACACATTTTTTTTTTTTTTACTATATTCGTCTTTCTGCTCAAAAGACTTACTTTGTGAATATTAAGTATGTAAGCAACTTTTCTTTTAATCTAGGACAGTTCGTGTGGCAATGCAAGTACCTGTTGTAATGACATCATTGGGTCAGAAGATTTCGACTGTGGCAGTTCAGTCAGTTAACGCAGGTGCACCATTAATAACCAGCACTAGTCCAACAACAGCAACCTCTCCAAAGGTGGTCATTCAGACAATCCCTACTGTGATGCCAGCGTCTGCCGAGAGCGGAGACAAAATCACTATGCAGCCTGCCAAAATCATCACCATCCCAGCCACACAACTAGCTCAGTGCCAACTGCAGACCAAGTCCAACCTGACTGGGTCAGGAAGCATTAACATTGTGGGCACGCCCCTGGCTGTGAGAGCACTTACCCCCGTTTCCATAGCCCATGGCACACCTGTCATGAGACTATCTGTGCCTGCCCAGCAGGCGTCAGGCCAGACTCCTCCTCGAGTTATCAGTGCTGTAATAAAAGGGCCAGAAGTTAAGTCGGAAGCAGTGGTAAAAAAGCAGGAACATGAAGTTAAAACTTTGCAGCTGGTCGAAGAAAAACCAACGGATGGAAATAAGACAGTGACCCACGTGGTAGTTGTCAGTGCGCCTTCGGCTATTGCGCTGCCTGTCACTATGAAGACAGAAGGACTGGTGGCCTGTGAGAAGTAACTAGCTGCTGCACCGTGGGTTTCAGACTGTTGGTGGTAGTGCTGACAGATATTTGAAAGGGAAGTCAGTCATCAAAGTCAGAGGAAGACTTTAAAACATTTCTAATGCATATAAGAAAACAATCAGACTTACTGGAAACAAATTTCCTATCCCATGTTTCAGTGGGAAATGAACTACACATTGAGATGCTGACAGAAAACTGCCTCTTACAGTAGCAAACAACCCATCAATGAGAAGAAGGATTGAAAGGGACCAAGCCGCTCACTACACTATCCGGTTACACTAAGACTTGGAACACTAACGTCTGTAAGAGGTTATACAGTTTTCAGCGGGGAGGGTTGGGATGGGTGATCTCATTGTTACATATAGCGATTTTTGATGCATTTTATATGCATACCAGCAATTATTACTGTGCTTGCACAGTACTCACTTAACTGGTGCTATGTGAAGATTCTGCTAATATAGGTATTCTAGAATGTGAATTGAAGAATGGATCCAAAACTTCAGAGGATAGCAAAAAAAAAAAAAGATCTAGTGCAGTTTTTTTTTTTTTTTTTTTTTTTAAATACCATATAGCTTAAGCTGATTTAAAACAAAAGGCCTTAGACTAATTTTTTGGTTTTCTTTTTTTGAAATAAGCTAATGGCTTGTTTGTGTAAAGCTTTTTTATTAAAAGAAAAATTTTAAAAACCTTGTACCTAGCACAGTATTGTTATAGAATTTACATGTAACATTTTATATAGTAGTTTGAGTCTGTCGGTTTCTTAATTGTGGACAAGTTAACAGTTGGCTCTGGCCTTTTGCTGCACCATGCCTGTGTCATTCACTTACCGACCGTCTCTGTGGACACAAGTTTCAGTTCTGCTGTCACTTGCAAGTGCAGGCTCAGCGTGAACTTTGTCATGTAGCTGCAACACCTGGCGCCCCCTTCTCCCTGCTCCCTCCTTCCCTCTCCCCAGCCCCTTTTTGTTCCTTTCTTTCCTATTTTTGTTTGTTTTTTTTTTTTTAGTTGACGTTTTAAGAGGGAAAGTACCAGTGTTCAGATTTGAACTATAATAGTTTGTATATTCAACATTTGAAGTATATTCTATTTTGTTGTACTCTTGTTTCAAAGTGTATTCAAGTAGGTTTTCTGAAATATAGAAATGAAATTTATCTTGTGTTTTTGTCTCTGGTGATTTTTTTTAAAAAACAGTATTCTGAAGTCAGTATAAAGATACTGTAGTTGAAACGCAGTATAAATTCTACTTCTTCCCGCTACCATGATAAGAAACAGGCCTCTTTTGCTGTTGTCTAGTGTTTGGCAAGCTGTCTTTGCCATTTGCTTTCTAGTTTTACCATGATCTACAGGTCTAAGTGCCATAATGAATTTAATATTTTGGTTGGCCAAATTACACTTTCAAAAGAATACCATTTGTTTCTCAAAGCCTTTTGACAGTTGGAATAACAGTAGTCCAGCCATTGTACAGATTAAGAATTTGCAGCATAGTATTATATAAATTGCTTAATTTCACACAAAACTTGGCCCTATTCCCCTTAATTTTCTACTACAAAGAAAAGTTATATTTTTAAGAAATTTATACCTAATATTTTAGTATTTTTGATACTTAATATTTTTTTTGAGCTTTGTGTATTTGACCAGGTAGACAAAGAGCGTTTTTTTAAATCAGATTTTTATTGCTGCACTTTAAATATACATAATGATCATACTCAACATAGAAATTTTGTGCCTGTACATGGCAGTTTTAATTTTTAAAAATTATTTACTTGGTACGGGGTCTTGCTATGCAGCTCAGACTTGTAGTGATTCTGCCTGAGTCTCCCAGTGCTGGGATTACAGCCATGTACTACCACACCCGGTTTTGGTGGCCAGCACAGTGTACTTGGGGTTCAGGGCCCGGCATGGCATACACTACTAGGGATCGAACCTGGGTCCTTGTGCTTGCCAGGCAAGTGCTTAGACCGCCAAGCTATCTCCCCAGCCCACACATATTACAGTTATAACAGATATTCCCTTTGTAATCTTTTATCATTTCTGTAAAAATACGTGAGACAATACTTAAGTTTAAAAACTCACTGAGTTTTTATCCTTTTTAGAAGTTAATATCGTTCTACCTCTTAAAACATTACTTATTCCAACTTTCAAAATCAGTACTACAGCGGGTGTGTGCGTGTGTGCATCTGTGTGGATCAGGCAGAGACACTGTTAACAGTACGGCAGCTAAGGATACCATGTGACTACTTTTCTCCTGCATTCCGCTGCTGCACCATTCTACCTGAAGTACTTTGACTCATGATAGGATGTTCTAAAGCTTGCAATTAGAAGCATACGGTAACTGTATGTGTTGACTATCTGGGTGTGGTGGCATACATCTTTAATCCTAGGTGGAATGGAGGCTGAGGCAGGAGGATCATGGTAAATTTGAGGCTAACTTAAACTATGAACTAGGTGAGTTCAAAGCCAGTTTGAGACCTTGTCTCTTAAAACAATAACAGGATATACTGACCAGAACGTTATTGGTGGTATATTGCTGCTGCCCCTAAACTAAGGCTTTTAATCCCAATTGCTCCAAACTGTAAATCAGTATGATCTACGTGAAGTTTTTGTGTTCAGTGTACTGTAGAAAAGCCAGAAGCATAGCTTGCTGCCACTGTGATCTCCAGCCTTGCCAATCTGCAAACTGGTTATCAGGCCACTTCCCCCTTATGTGACTGCAGCAAGAGTCAGTGCAGCCTTCAGCCCATTTCTCACTGGGTGGCCGCCACACTTGTCCATGGAGACCACAGTGTGAGGTACATGTCTATTTTGGCACCTTGCTACTGAGAATGACTTCCTTCCACAGGGGAGGAGGAAGAGGTGGTGTTGTGTGCATGGCATCGCACACGCACCCCAGGCAGGCCCTGGGCTGGCAGGCAGTGACCGGGCATGCCGTCTGCTGCTCCTCCCCTGCGTGTGCTGGTTTCTTTCTTCAGGTGCTCCCTGTGCATCTGCTTCCCAAGGAAGAGTCCTATAGGTCCTCTCTCAGATGAAGGGGCAAGGATTGAGGTAACATGCGGGGATCAGTGGAATAAGTGCTTGCCTGGCAAGTGCAAGGTTCTCAGTTCAATCCCTGGTACTGCCAGAAAACCCCAAACAAAACAAAGCGCACACAAAAACACACAAATTGGGGGGCTTGCCGGTTAGCTCAGTTGTTTAAAGCATTTGCTTGGGCAAACTTATGCGCTGGGGACTGTGTTTCGATCCCAGCTCCACATGCTGTACCAGACCTGCCCTGTTTTCTACTAGGGCGTCATCTTCATGTTAACCTTGGCTCTGCATATGGCCTTTCACTGTCAAATTTATTGTTCCAGCCTCGAATCGGACTCAAAGATGGGTTTCTCCATTTGTCAACTGACTTTACTCCTGAAAGTTCAATTAAAAACTTCCCTCCAGTATCTGCTTAGCTGAGCTCAGTGATGTTACCAGCAACCCACAAGGCAGAGAAGCGTGCATGCCCCTGAGCACTTCCTGCCCACTAGGCACGCCACCGCCTCCCCAGCCGCTCTGATGCTCTTGGTGAGTGCAGCTGAGAGCTGTGTAAATGCAGACTCTGCCACTCCAGCACTGCAGTTGCTTAAGTGCAGTGGCCTCTTGCTGATGGGCTAGTCCCTACAACCTGTTGCCCCAAGCCTTAATTACCTTTGGGCAGCAGACATCCTGAAAGGGTCCATTTCCCCCATCTGCCTGGGAACTCATTGTATTCCACTGACGACACTTTCTGGACAACTCAGAATTTATTTATTTGATTTCGGAGGCGATTTTATTTTTTTATTTTTTTTTAAGTTTTATTTTTTTAACATTTATTTAGTGTGGGGGGGCAGCTCAGCCCACCAGGGGGCGCGGCTGGCTGGCATGTGGTGCTGGAGGATCGAACCGCGGTCCCCGTGCTTTGCCAAGCTTGTTCCAAGTAGGTGCTTTAGACCACTGAGCCATCTCTCCAGCCCCAAAGTTTCTTTCTTTCTTTCTTTTTTTTTTTTTTTGGCGGAACTGGGGATTGATCTCAGGCCCTTGCGCTTGCCAGGGAAGCACTTATTCCACTGAGCCATCTCCCCGGCCCTTCGAAGGCGATTTTAAAAATACATCCTGGGGCTGGGGAGATGCTCAGTAGAATAAGCACTTCTCTGGCAAGTGCAAGGGCCTGAGTTCAATCCCTAGTTCTGCCAAAAAATAAATATGTAAGAATAAAAATACATCCTGACCAGGCATGGTGGAGCATGCCTATAATCGCAGTACTTGGGAAGCTGGGGCAGGAGGATTGCCAGGAATTTGAGACCAGCCTGGGCTAGGTAGTTCTTCCTGTACTACACAGGAAGACTCAGAAAACCTAGAAAAACAAAAACTGCAATCCCAGCACTCCAAAGGCTGAGGCCAGCCTGGGCTCACACATAACAAGACTCTTGTCTCAAAAACCAAAATAAGTAAAAATTTCTGAACTAAATTTGGAATCCACTCAGAGTGGGGAATGACCTACTTTGGCTCAGCTGAGTGTGGAAGACGAGAGAAAAGTGTGAAAAACAACTGCAAGAAGCAAAAGGAACCAGAGAAGTCAGGCCTACAGGAACAGGACGGGTGGGACCATGGACTTGGATCTGCTGGCCACAGTGGCAGGTGTAGTAGGAAGGGCAGAGCAAAGCGCCCAGAGCAGGCCAGGGTGCCCAGGTGGGGTGGGCTGGGCTGGGCGAACAGTAGTAATCAGATAAACTTCCTTCCACAGATAAAATCCTGGTCCTGGTCATTGACATAGTTATAAGTTCAGTCGCCTGCCATAGTTTGTGAGGCTCCAGCACAGCACATTGTTTTGGGGTCGGTAAGAATGGCCCTACTTTTATTCTGAAACTTTTTTTTTTTTTTGTACCAGGGATCAAACTCAGGACCTTGTACTTGCCAGGCAGGTGCTTATGCCACTGAGCTATCTCTCTAGCCCTAATTCTTTTTTTTTTAATTTTATTTATGTGTGTGGGGGGGCAGCTCAGCCCACCAGGGGGCGGGGCTGGCTGGCATGTGGTGCTGGGGGATTGAACCGCGGTCCCTGTGCTTTGCTAAGCTTGTTCTAAGTAGGTGCTTTAGACCACTGAGCCATCTCACCAGCCCCTCCAGCCCTAATTCTGATAAAGGTATCCTTCCTGTAATACAAAGCTTTTAATCACACTACTTTGCACTGTCTGGTTGTGACTCCCATTAGAATTGCTGTCCCTTGGGGCTGGAGAGATGGCTCAGTGGTCTAAAGCACCTACTTGAAACAAGCTTGGCAAAGCACAGGGACCGCGGTTCGATCCCCCAGCACCACATGCCAGCCAGCCCTGCCCCCTGGTGGGCTGAGCTGGCCACACACACACACACACACACACACACACACACACACACTAAATAAAATGTAATAAATAAAAATAAAAAAAAAAAAAAAAAGAATTGCTGTCCCTGGAGAGTCAAACCTGTGCCTGCCCTAGGAACTTCTCCCACAGGGCCCTGGCTTGCCCTTGCAGAGCACCAGGTGGCCCTGCCTCTCATGCACATCTGCCCGGCTGAGGAGGAACCCGGGCAGAGCAGCGACTTAGCCTAACACTCTGGAGTGACCTTTGTGTACGCTCTGCAACTCAGTAGTCCTGCTCTTGGCTTTGGGACTGACATATGCAGCTTCTCAAGTGAGGCCTTAACCCAAATTAAAGTTAATGCAAAATGCTCCACATCAAAAACAACAAAACGAGGGGCCGGGGAGATGGCTCAGTGGAATAAGTGCTTCCCTGGCAAGCGCAGGGTCCTGAGTTCAATCCCCGGTACCACACACACAAAAAAACCCCAACTAGCTGAGTGTGGTGTCACACACCTGTAACCTCAGCGTTCAGGCTGCTGACACAGAAGATTGCTGTTGTTTGCAAGCCAGCCTGAACTACATAGTGCAACTGACTCAAAAAGACAAAACAACAAAACCCTACAAAAATCCAACAATAGGGGCTGGTGAGATGGCTCAGTGGTCTAAAGCACCTATTTACAACAAGCTTAGCAAAGCACAGGGACCGCGGTTCAATCCCCCAGCACCACATGCCAGCCAGCCCGCCCCCTGGTGGGCTGAGCTGGCCACACACAC